AGTTATGAAAATTTATGCTTCAAGCAACTAGAGGAGCTATAAGAAAAAACAGAAACTTACTAATAGAAGAAAACTTTAATTCACCTTTCTCAGGCCATAATAGATGAAGAGGAAAAAAGTAAGTCAATCTAGATGACACAATGAATTAGGCAGATTTAATTATAAATATCATACTCTGTATCCTGAAAAAAGAGTACACATTTCTGTTTAAGTGTCCATGATCACAGAAATTGATGATATATTAAGACTCAAAGAAAACCTAAATACATTACAAAAAATTGAAGTGATATGGACAACATTCTGTGATCACTATGTAATACTAGAAATTAATAATTAAATTTAAAAATGAAAAGCCAACACCTCTTAGCTTTTACAATCTCAAACAATTGTTGAATCAAAGAGAAAAAAACAAAACTATAATTGCAAAACATCTAACAAACAATAATAAGAAAACTACAAATTGCTAAAACAATACTGAGAGGAGAGGAAATAATACTTCCATTATAAACATGAAAGACTAAAAAAATGAATTTGACATTTAACTTTAGAAGTTAAAAAAGAAACAAAATAAAATGAAGGAGAATCAAGGGAAAAAGTCAATAAAGATAAAAGCAGAATTTAAGAAGTTGGAACACAAAAACTGAAAGCTGCTGCTTTGAAAAAAAAAGTCAAAAAACATAAACTACTAACTTAATCAAAAAAAATGTAAAAATGTGCTAATAAAATGAGAAGGATTAGGAGAGGAAATTATCATAAAAATGAAAAAAAATCTGAATAAATTGGACAATTTTATACTCAAGCTTAGAAAAGACATAAAATCTAAGTAGCATAATTTTCATTAACAGAAACTCAGAATTTCATCAAAGAGATACTGCCACCTCTTGCACATTTTCCCTGGCCAAACACCAGGCTGAAATTATTTCTCTGAGCAATTTTACGAGATCTTCAAAAAGAATTCTGGATTATTTTTATAAAGCAAGCAGGACACTGATGGTAAAATCTGATGAAAACTATCTCCAATATCATATGAATATTAAAGAAAGCTCCTAAATAAATCTAGCAGTACATTAAAAGAGAAATGTACCATTTCCAATAGGATTTATTACAAGTCTGCAAAGGAGGTTCAATCTTAGAAAACCTATTAATCTATTTATATCTACCAATTAGTAGGCATAAGGAGGAGAATCATATGATCACCTTTATCTTCATATATGCTAAAAAGATACTTGACAAAATTTAATAACCATTCTTGATGAAATTCTTAAGAAAGTATTTATCAATGGATACATCTTTGAATGTTGAAATATAATTATTTCACCTCCCAAATCAGTAGTACATTTCAGGGAGAATTACTAGGGCATCCCCACTCAGGAACAAGCTAAGAAAGGTCCTATCATCACTATTATTTAACATTCTACCAGAAATGCTAGCCAATGCGATTATGCCAGATAAAGAAATTAGAGATGTGAGAATTAACAAAGCAATAAAACTATCACTATATGTAAATCATATAACATATCTAGAAAATTCAAGGAGGTCAAATAAAAACTACTACAAACAAACAAAACATTCAGTAAATTAGGAAGGTACAAAATTAATATGCAAATTTTTTCATGTATACAATCAATATTCATTGAAAATATAATAGAAGAAAAGACCCCATAGCGAGGTGATGAGCCTAAAAAGAAACGTTCAAGGCTGAGTATTCTACAGACAAAAACATTAAAACATTCTTTGAAAGAGAAAAGGAAGTCTTGAACAAATGGAAAGGCATTTTGGATAGGAAGAGTCAATATTATCAAGATGTTGAACTTAATTTATATATTTAATGTGATTTCAATAAAAATAAAATCTGGGTTTTTTTAGAACCAGACTAGACCAGAAATAATTTTAAAGTTTATATGAAAGTAAGCCAGGCATGGTGGTATGCACATGTAATCCCAGCTATTCCGAGGAAGAAGGATTGCTTGAGCCCAGGAGTTTGAGACCAGCCTGGGCAACACAACAACAACCTGTCTCAAAAAACAGAAAAAGCACATATGGAAATAGAAACAAAAAAATACGAAATCTCCACAAAAGAAAACCACTAAAGGAAGATTTTTCTCTATCAGATAAAGCCTCAGTGATTATTATTGTTATGACACATGAATAGGCAAACAGACTAACACAAAATGTATAGTCAGAAATAGGCCTAAATCCATATGGAGTTTTAGTATATAATAAATGTGGTATCTTAAATCAGTGAGAAAAAGAGGTGCTATCAATGAATCATCTGGGAACTACGAGGAAGCCACATGGAGAAAAAAATACGGTTTGATGTATGCCTCACACCCTAACCCACGGTAAATTTCAAATGGGCTAGGATTTTTCCTATAGATACAAACACATAAGAATGAAATGACATTTGGATATAATTCATTGAAGTATTGTTTATAATGCAATATATTGGAAATGATCTACATGCTCACCGATAAGGGGCTGGTTAAATACATTAATAGTATATCTATAAAATGGAATACTATAATTTTGTTTAAAAAAGCTTTTTTATCAACATATCAAAATATCTCCATGCTATAGTAAGTCAAAAAAGCTAGAACGGGAGGTAAAATTTGTATAATTTCCTATTATCTGTAACTTGAAAGGAGAAAAAATATAATTATTTTTATTAGCTTTCAGATAAATACAAATTCTTATCAAGGATATGATAACCTAGACGCCACATTTGGCAGGTTTCCAAATTAATCCACCTTAGGGAGGTCTTATGATTCATGGCTTACATCCTATTCTTGAGTAAAGAAATTTATCCTGAGTCCCTGAAATCTTATAGTGGGTTCCTCAAACTGTTGATGTACTAATTAATATGTAACTTAACTGATACTGAAAAGGACATTGATTGGTTTCTGAATGGTGAAGCTTTACTGATTGTCTTGCACTTTGATGATTTTAGCCTGTATGTTGCAAAAGACAATTCCTGTATGAGAAGCCCCTCTCCCTAAACTTCCCCATAGAAGCTTCTTCTTCCTCTTCCTCTTCTTTTTCTTTCTCTTCCTTCTCCTCCTCTTCCTCCTCCTCCGCCACCACCGCCTCCTCCTTCTCCTTCTTCCATTTATTTATTTCTTTATTTATTTATTTAGACAGAGTCTCACCTTGAGGCCCAGACTGGAATGCGGTGGTGTAAACATGGCTCACTGCAGCATTGACCTCCTGGGCTCAAGTGATCCTCCCACCTCAGCCCCCTAAGTAGCTGGGATTACAGGTGTGTACCACCATGCCCAGCTAATTTTTGTATTTTGGTAGAGATAGGGTTTCTTCATGTTACCCAGGCTGGTCTCAAACTCCTGAGCTCAAGTCATCCTCCTGACTCGGCCTCCCAAAGTGCTGGGATTACAGGTGTGAGCCATGGTGCCCAGCTACATTTTCATACATCGTGTTTAAGCCAAGTAAATGAATACCTACTCAAAAAATGTTGATACATGTTTTTAAGTGAAAAAAAAAACTCCTAATCTAATCATAACTAAAGAGTTAAACAGAAAGGTTATGTAAACAATTTGCCAACTTGCAGAAATAAATTTCACTAGTAAATCTGTTCATAATTTTTTATATACTTAAATATCACTTTAAGAGGAAAATGCATTGTGATCTCTTCAGCCAAGGTCAAATTCTTGTGTCCTATACTTATGACACTTATATCCATTTACTTATGACACATATCCATTTATACACATATCCATTTTGTACTTCCTTGGAGCACTCTTAATGATTAGTTAAATAATCAACTACCAAAACATTAATCTTCCATCCCAGAACGAAAGCATCAACAGGGCAGTGGTCAGGCCAGCCTTGCTGACTTCTGTATCTCATAGGGTCTACACAGAGGAAGTTCTACATTGGAGGAGGAGTTGGTGTTTCAAAATCTAAATGTTTTACTTTAGTAAGAGAGTAAAAATAGCTATGCCCATCTCACTGTTACATTGCTACTTAGGTAGAAGGACTGAGGAGTATGCTTTCTGATCTTGCCACTGCTCTGCGGCTTCCTGCAGGTATTTTTGCTTTAAGAAAAGAGAGGAGAGTAAAAGCCCATTTGCAGGGGACAGCTGAAGTCTCAAAAGCTGATGATGTCCTCTTGAATAAAGTTTTGGAATTTTTTCCATGTCCATTTCTCTTTTCTTCTTTTACTAAGAGAACACCCCACACCCATCAAGTTTTGGCTAGACTAACGGCTACTCCAGTTACAGGCTACGTTTCCCACATTCTCTTGAGAAGGCTCTGAGTTTTGGTTTTAGCTTCTAGGTTTTATTTTATTTTTGTGAGACAAGGTCATGCTCTGTCACCCAAGCTGGAATGCAGTGTTGTGATCATAGCTCATTGCAGCCTTGATCAGTGCTCAAGAGATCCTCCCACCTCAGCTTCCCAAGTAGCTGGGACTACAGGCATACATCACCACACCTGGCTAATTTGTTTTATTTTTTATTTTAATTCTTGTAGAGAACGTATCTCCCTGTGTTGCCCAGGCTGGTCTTAAACTCTTGGGCTCAAGTGATCCTCTTGCACTGACCTCCCAAAGTGCTGGAATTACAGATGTCAGCCACCCCGCAAGGCCTAAGTTTTAGTAACCACTTCTGCTTTGTGTTTTTCAAAATAAAGTTGTTTGCCCTTCATATTTTCTTTTGTTCCCTTCTGTGGCCTGGAATGTGGAACCAGTGAAGTTGACAATCACTGGAGAAAACACTTTTGACCTAGCGAGAAAAGCCAAATGTAGAAGATGGCAGATTTGCCCCAGCAACCTGTGTATCTAGATGACTTTATGGAGCATAGCCCAGATATTCATCTTGAACTGTGATATGAAAAAGAAGCTTCTAACACATTTAAGCCCTTGTACTTGGAGCTGCTTTTCCCCCCTTACAGTGGCTTAACTTTCTCCCTAATCACGTCAGCAAATACTAGTGGGGTTCTTAGTGGCAGGATCTGTTTTGTAGAGAACAAAAATCCACTTTAGCTAGTTTAAGAAGAAAGGGATTTATTGCAGCCGTTAGGTAGCGTATAAAACTCTTTGGAAGGCCAAGGAAACAATTTTGGATTATACACTGTCAGAAGTAATACAGTCAGAAGAAACATCTGGCTCACTACAAATTTATTCCAGAAGAAATCCCACTGTTGCCACTACCCTCTACAGAGCACAGCATCACTATTATCTATCTCCCTGGGTTATGTGCTGGCTTGTTGATCTGCGAGAGGAGTATGGGAGGTGTCCATAGCACTCTGCTGACTCGTCTCTCTGGGTCATGCCACGGTGGGCTTGGACCATGCCAGCAGAGACCCTGACTGTAGTTCTCTTCGCTTTCTGGCATTCATGTCTCCTGCAAAGATGCTTTGTTTCAGTCTGTTGGTGTGTTCATTTGCTCTCACTGAATGGATGATTTCTTCTTTAGGAGTTCCTAGAAATGTGATGTTTCAAAAATTTTCATTACAGGTTTAGCAGAATAAAATGCTTTAAATGATAGATGTAATTTTCAGTAACAGAAGAGTCATACTGTCAGAATTCTGAGTCTAATTCCAGAATTGTCCTTGAAAGGACAAGATTTATTGTCAAGGAATGAGTTTAAGTAATAAAGTTGGCAAGTAGTCAACATAGATCAACTTTCCATTATTAACATTCTGAGCCATATGTGAAATGACTGGAAAACAGATCTTGGAGCCATAAGGCATTAAGACTTGTTCTTCCCTTCCTGTCAATTTAAACACAAAAAGCACTTTAGGAAACCAAAGACACATGCACATTCATAAAGGGAAAAGGATTGGAGTGAACCGTTCTATTTTGCCTCTAATGCTGGAATATTCTTTCACATTCTTTCCAATATTTTACTTAGTTTGAATCCAACTACTTTCTGTAATACTCAAGACTTTCCTCAAAAGCACTTCACTGTGGGTCAACAAGGTATGCCACCTAAATCAGATTTTCACGTAACCAAGAATCATCTCTTTAGAATTGAAAATCTTTTGCATCTTATTTTTGACATAAATCTTTTTGAAGTCCATACATTTTAACCTGACTTATTAAACAAAAGACGCTCTCCTTGGTTATCTCAATGAATACTCATTACTAGATAGTGCTTGCAGAGTGAAATTCCAGCTACTTTCCAAAATTCTTTTCACTTCTTGCAGTACTGATAATCACTTTTCACTGGGACTCCCTCAAATATTTTTATGCCCCTTTCTCTCTTCAAATGTATTGTTTATAACTTATCAAGCTTAATTGAAGCGTGTTAGGTAGAATCAAACAGGCTCTGAATGAGAGTTTAAAAGGTCACCTAGGAAATAAGGAATTTAGCCAGAGTGCTGTGGCTTTGTCAAAGCCATTTCATCATGCTTTAAAAAAAATTCTGGATGCATATCTCTACATCAGAGAATTGAGGATTATAGAAATCTGGCCTTCAGAAGAGAGTAGTTTTACTATCCTTTTAGATACAAACTTTAAAAAAAAAGTTTTATTCAGATATAATTGACAAATAACAACAAATCATATATATTTAAAGTATACAATTGGATTAGTTTTGACATATGTACACATTCACCAAACCATCATCACAATCAAGATAATGAACATGTCTATCACCCAAAAAAGTTTCCTCATTCCCCTCTGTAATTTTAAAGTCCAGATTCCCAGGAAACTGCTGATCTAATTTACACCACTCTAGATTAGTTTGCATTTTCTAGAATTTTAAATGAATGGAATTATACAGTATGTATCCTTTTTTGACCTTTTAAATTTTACTCAGCATAATTGTTTTGAGATTCACTCTGGTATAGCATATATCAACAATTCATTCTGCTTTATTGCTGAGTAATATTCTATTATATAAATGTAACCCAGTTGTTTATCTATTCATCTGTTTATAGACATTTGGGTTATTTTCAGTTTTTAGCTCTTACAAGTAAAGCTGCTATGAATTTTTATATACAAGGTGTTATGTATGGTGTTATGAACCAAAGAAACTTAGAAACTGTTTTCCAAAGGGGTTGTATCATTTTACATTCTCAGCAGCAGTGCATGAGAATTCTAGTTCCTTTATATTGGTATGGTCAGTCTTTTAAATTTTAGTGATTCTGACAATGAGTGGTGCTATCCATTGTGGTTTTAATTTGCATGTCTTTAATGACTAATAATATTAAATATATTTTAATGTTTGTTTTCTAGTCATATTGTCTTCTGATGTGGTTTAGATCTGTGTGCCCAACCCAAAATCGTGTCGAAGTGTAATCCCCAATATTGGAGGTGGGGCCTGGTGGCAGGTGATTGGATCATAGGAGTGGATTTCTTGTGAATGGTTTGGTGCTGTTCTTGTGATAGTGAGTTCCTGTGAGATCTGGTTATTTAAAAGTGTGTGGCACTTCCCCTCACTTCTCTTGTTCCTGCTCCTACCATGTGAGATGCCTACAGCTCAGCCTCCCCAGAAGCCCAGGATATACTAGCATCATACTTCCTGTACAGCCTGCAGAACCATGAGCCAATTAAACCTCTTTTCTTTATAAATTACCCAGTCTCATGTGTCTTTACAGCAATGAGAAAACAGACTTATATGTCATCTTTGGTGAGGAATCTGATCAAATCTTTTGCCCATTTTTTTAATTAACTCATTTGCTTTCTTATATTAAGTCTTCAGAGTTATTTATATATTTTGGATACAAGTTTATCCAAATATATCATATAGATGATATATCAGATATACGATCTGCAAGTATTTTCTCTGTAGCTTGCATTTTATTTCTTTCAAGGAATAGAAGTTTTTAACTGTGATGAAGTTCAATATATCATTTTTCCTTTATAGATCATGCTTTCAGTGTTGCGTCTAAGAAATCTTGGCCTAATCCAAGGCAGCAAAGATTTTCTTTCTATGTTTCCTTCTAGATGTTCTATAGTTTTAGGTTTCATGTTTAGGTCTATGATCCATTTTTGGTGAATTTGTGTAAATGGTGTTAAGGAATGGATTGAGGTTCCTTTTTTTCAACTTTTGCTAAAAAGACTTGAAATTAGTTGTTCAAAAATTGGTGTGTGTACTTCTGGGCTCTCCATTTTTTTCTACTGATTCATTTCTTTATCTTTGTGCTAGTACCACTAGTCTTGCTTACTCTAGCATTATAATAAACCTTAAAATCAGGTAGTATTAGTCCTCTAACTTTGTTCTTTATCAACATTGTTTTGGCTATTCTAGGCCTTTGCATTTCAATGTAAATTTTATAATTGTTTTTATCAATACCTACAAAAGAGACTTTCAGGATTATGATCAGAATTTCATTAAATCTATACATTAATGGAGGGGTCAGGGTGAGTTTTCTGACCCATGAGCAAGACATATCTATTTATTTATTTATTGGTTTGTTTGTTTGTTTTTTGTTTTGTTTTGTTTTTGAGACAGAGTCTTGCTGTGTCGCCAGGCTGGAGTACAGTGGTGCGATCTTGGCTCACTGCAACCTCTGCCTCCCAGGTTCAAAGGATCCTCATGCCTCAGCCTCCTGAGTAGCTGAGATTACAGGCATGTGCCACTACACTTGGCTAATTTTTGTACTTTTGGTAGAGATGAGGTTTCGCCATGTTGTCCAGCCTGGTCTCAAACTCCTGGCCTTAACTGATCTGCCTGCCTTGGCCTCCCAAAGTGCTGAAATTACAGGCATGAGCCTCTGCACTCAGCTCATACCTACCTATTTAGATTTTCTTTAATTTTTCTCACAAGTGTTTTGTAGTTTTCAATGTGCAAGTCTTTCACCTTTGTTAGTTCATGTTTTTTGCTGCTATTGTAAATAACATTTTTACTAGTATGTAGAGATACTTTCGTATATTGATCTTGTATCTTGTGACTTTGCTAAAGTCATTAGTTCTAGTAAGTGTCTTTATAGATTTCCATGGATTCTCTACGTAATTATCATGTCTGTGAATAACGACAGTGTTATTCCTTCCTATTTAGTCTGTGTGCCTGTTACTCTTTTCCTTGCCTCATTGCAATGGCTAGAACATCTAACCCAATGTTAAACAGAAGTGGAAGAAGTGGACATCGTGATGTCATTTCTGATAGTACGAGGAAAGTACTCTCTGTAGAGGAAGAATATTTGGAGCTTACCTCCAGCCTCTCCAGATCCTTTTCTTTAAAGTGTTTGACTATAACACATAACCTTTAATGCTGTCACTGTGATGTATCCTTGTTTATATAGCTAACAATTTTCCTTTCATCTGACGGACATCTTTTAACATTTATGATAGTGCTGATGATCCACTGATTACAAATTATTTCAGTTTTTTATGTCTAGAAAGTCTTTATTTCACCTTTGTTTTTTAAATATTTTTTCTGGGTATAGAATTCTAAATATAGAATTTTAGGTTGACTTTTTTTCTTTCAGCAATTTAAATATGTTGCTTCACAGTGAATTCACCTGCAATTTCCAATAAAAATTATACTGTCATCCTTATCTTTGTTCCTCTGCATGTATCATGTCTTTCTTTTTTGGCTGCTTTTTACAATTTTCTCTTTATCATTGGTTTTGAGCACTTTGATTATGATGCACATTGATGTAGTTTTCTTCATGTTTCCTGTGCTTGGGGTTTGTTGAGCTTCTTGAGTCTATGAATTTTGAGTTTTCATCAAACTTGGAAAATTTACTTTTAAGAGTTTATTTCTCTATTTCCTCTTTTCTCCTCTCCTTTGGATACTCTAATTACACACATATTAGGATGTCTGAAGTTGTCCCACAGCTTACTGATGTCCTTTCCTCTTTTTAATTCTCCTATCTCTGTGCTTCATTTAGGATCATTTCTATTGCTATGTTTTCAAATTCACTACTCTTTTATTCTTCAATGTCTAATCTTCTGTGGGTCTACTGCAGCTTTTATCTCTAAAGTTCAATGTGTTTTATTTTGTTTTTCAAATATCTTTCATGTTTCATCTTAACTTTATAAACATATAAAATGTAATTCTGATCACTTTACTGCCTTGTCTGGTAATTCTAACACTGTGTAAATTCTGAGTTGTTTCAATTGGGTGATAAGTTTTCCAAATATGGTTTGTATTTTCTTGTTTCTTTGACTTGTAACTTTTAGCTGACTATCAGACATTGTAAATTTTGTTTCATTGGGTGCTGGATATTTCTGTGTTCCTACAAGTATTCTTGAGCTTTGTTCTGAGATGCTTGGAAACAGTTTTATCCTTTCAGGGTTGTTAGGCTGGCCCAGAGCAATATTCAATGTAGAGTTACTTATTCCCCACTGAGGCAAGACCCGACTATGCACTGTAGCAAATGTCCTGTGAATTATGGGATTTTCCAGTCTGGATGGTGGGAACAGACATTACTCTCAGCCTTGTGTGAGCATTGGGCACTGGTTCCTCTAATATGTTTAGGGATTTCTTTCCTTTCTTCACGCAGTTTCCTCATAGGCAAGTGCTAATCT